GGCTGGGGATTCGAACCCGCCACCTTAGGTGTACGTGGCTGGCACCTTAGCCGGTTGAGCTATAGGCGCCAAGCCACTGCCTGTCCTGCTTAGCAGCTGACTCATCCCGGGGCCCGCAGTCCGGTCTTCCAATGGTCTGAGGGACAGTGAGCTGACCCCCTGTTTAAAAAGTTTGAGGACCCCTGGGTTAAGTAATTTAAGTCAGCAGGTGGAGCAGATCTGCCTAGTACCAAAGCTTTTTCCATCAAAAAGACAATATTGTTCACCTAGGCTAGAGTGCTGAGGAAAGCTTTTTTTTGTTTGTTTAGAGACAGAGTCTCACTTTATCACCCTTAGCAGAGTTCCATGGCATCACAGCTCACAGCAGCCTCCAATTCCTGGGCTTAGGCAATCCCCTTGCCTCAGCCTCCTGAGTAGCTGGGACTACAGGTGCCTCCCACAACACCTGGCTGTTTTTTTGCTGCAGTTTGGCCAGGGCTGAGTTTGAACCCACCACCCTAGGTGTATGGGGCCAGTGCCTTACCCACTGAGCCACAGGTGCTGCCGGAAAGCTTTTTTTTTTTTGAGACAGAGTCTCACCATGTCACCTTTGGTAGAGTGCCATGGTGTCACAGCTCATAGGAATCTCTAACTCTTGGGCTTACGTTATTCTCTTGCCTTAGACTTCCAAGTACCTGGGACTACAGGCGCCCGCCACAATGCCTGGCTATTTTTTGTTGTAGTTGTTGTTTAGCAGGCTCTGGCCAGTTTTGAACCTGCCTGCCATGGTGTATGTTGCCAGCTCCCCTAACCACTGTGCTACAGGTGCTGAGCTATGTTTTTTTTTTGTCATTGTTGTTTAGCAGGCCTGGGCTGTGTTTGAACCCACTTGCCTCGGCATATGTGGCTGGTGCCCTAACCCCTGAGCTATGGGCACCAAGCCTTCAGGAAAACTTTTGAAGGAAAAATGGGAATATGTAATGGAGGTTAGAAATTTGTGCATTTAGGGCAGCGCCTGTGGCTCAGTGAGTGGGGCACTGGCCCCATATACCAAGGGTGGCATGTTCAAACCCAGCCCTCATCAAACTACAACAAAAAAATAGCTGGGCATTGTGACGGATGCCTGTGGTCCCAGCTACTCGGGAGGCTGAGGCAGGAGAATTGCCTAAGCCCAGGAGTTGGAGATTGCTGTGAGCTGTGATGCCACGGCACTCTACAAGGGCAATAAAGTGAGACTTTGTCTCTAAAAAAAAAAGAAAGAAATTTGTGCATTTAGTAAATATTTTTAAAAAGTTGTGTATACTATTTGATAAATACAAAATAATATATATAACATGTAAGTTTTAAAACACAAAAACACCTGTAAACCCACTATCCTAGATTAGAACATTGCCAGTGCCACGTAACCCCTTTTCCCATCCCTAGAGGTATTGCTATCCTGAATTGTGTTCATTGTTTCTTACTTTTTTCTTTTCTTCTCAAATGTGGCTCAGAATAAACATCCCTTGCTTTCTTTTTTTTGAGACAGAGTCTCACTTTATTGCCCTCAGTAGA